CCACCCGCGCAGTGGGATTTACCAGAACCCCGGCTGCCTCCAGGAACACGGCAGAGCCGCAGCCAGCAGCCACCATCCCTGCACCGAGTCACGCAGGCGGCGCTCCAGCAGGGCCAACCTGCTGGGATTCACTCCCTCCCAGCACCAGCATTCCCCAGGCAAGCTGGAGGCTGCATCCGCCCAACATCTCCTTCCGAGAGAGGTCCTGCTTTGCTCTCCCCCACGGAGCTCCTCTCCCTCGCCCACAGCGCAGCGGGATCGCAGGCACCAGCGACACCCACCTGACTTTGGTGGTGAACTGCACCCCAGTTTTGATGACGAGGGGCCGGTCGGGGTGCATGGGCATGCAGGGCTGCCTCTCCACGACGAAAGCGCTGCCGGGGAAAAGTGTAGTCAAACCTCAGGTGCGGCACGCTGTGAGCAGGGCATTGCCCACACCTCCCTCCCAGCCCTTGGCACCTCTTCATCAGGTTCCTGAACAGCTCCACGATCCGCTCCTCCAGCATGGGCCGGTGTTGGACAATTGGGTCACCCTTGTAGGACACTTTCTGCTGCAGTTCTTCCAGCTTCTTGATCTGCTGCCGGGTCTGTAGCTGTGATTCGGCAAGAGAGGTTATCCTAGGGGAGCAGGAAGAACCAGCGTTAGCCCTGGCTGCCGAGCCCTGTGCAGTCCCACTCCGCAGAGCTCTCCCGCTCCCTCGCTCGTGTGAGAGGATGCTCTCCGTACCAAACCAGCAAAGAACAGAATACATCTGTGGCTCCCAGCCCAGTGCATGTTTTTAAGCCATCCATTACAAAAGAATCCTGCAGAGACGCACCAGGAACAGGAACCTCTCACACAGCCTTCAAACCCCACAGCCCTGGGGTGACCATTCCAGCATTAGTGCCCCCCTGGAGGATCGGGCTGACTGCTGGATCATGTTTTCCCGTGCGAGCATCAGAAGCCATTTTGCAAGGACGTTTCCAGAGGCAAAGAGCTTGTTTCCACTGCAGGTGTCTGAATGCCACCTCTCTAGGGACTGACGCAACCCCCAGCCAGCTCTTACCAGTTCTCGAGCCGGTCCAAGCAGATATTTGGTGGGCCACCAATGCAGGCGATCTGCTGCCGTCTCTTCCAGTCTGCCAATTCCTCATCCGCCAGCATCTTCTGCACATACTCCATGGCTGACAGCAGTCCAGCCAGCTCGCTCACAATACCCTGTCAAAAAAGAAAGCAGAACCTTCAGCCCCCTCTGACTTCCTCCAAGATCTTCAAGTTTCACATCCACAGACAAGAAAGAAGTCACCCAGGGCTGCGTTTCCAGCGCTGCTCTTGGTTCTGGCCGTGCACAAACACCAGACTTGCATCCCAGAATAAGGCCACCACGGCACCCCGAGGGGAGGCGGAGGGCCAGATGCACGACGTACCCTTCGCATTTGGTCCAGCGCCGTGAGCATCTGTTCCAGCTGCTGCATTTTCTGCCGGGTCACCGACTGATTGTTTCCATTCAGATCCTGCATGTCTGTGCAGAGAGGTGAGAAAGCTTCAGCCGTGCCCATGGATTCCTCCTCCCCTCCAGAGCATCACGCAAACAAAAGCCTTCCACCTCGAAGGAGCGGGCGGCCCAGAACGCCTCCGGCAGTTAGGCAGGATCTCCCACAGCCTCTAAGCACCTTGCTGCTTTCCCCCTCGCACAGCAGCACTAGCTCCTGCACAGCCACTTCTCTGCTGCAGGGACAGCTCTGGTTCAGCTGCCCTGGAGGCAGGGGCAGAATGGAAAGATGAGGTTTCTCCAATTGCCATGCAAATGCCCTGAGCACAAGCCACCCTTCTTGCTTGGAGAGGAGGCACTGGGAGGGCTGGAACACGCCCTCCAGCAAGTTTCCTTGCAGGAACACACTTCAGTTTGCCAGACACTAATGAGCTTCCATTACCTCCCTGGCTTTTCAAAGTCTTGTAGTTAAAATCAAAGTCATCTTGGAGATTCTCCACCACTTTCATCTTCTGCTCCAGATCCTGCAAGGCAAGAGATGCGGATTTATTCAAAGCACTAAATCACCACGGTGGGGAAAGGAGAAGGTGCCCAGGCAGCACACATACCTGCACCCTCTTCCTCACATCCTGCAGATGCTGCTCCAGCATCTGCTGCTTTTCCGTCACTACAGCCGCTGTCGGATGTGTTGCCTGTCCCCCTTGCTGCAGAGGGGACAAGGAGGGCGTTAGAACAGGGCCACGACCCAGGGACGCTCCCCCCACAGCCTGAGGTTTGGCAGGAGGGGTCTTCCCTCACTAACAAAAGCCAGTGCAGCATTAGCTCCAGGGCTGCACAGCAAGGTGCGCAGCCCACGCAAGGGGCAAGAGGAACAACGGATGCACAAAGCTAAGAGCCACCCCAGGCAGAGAGCACCCAGGCTGCACCCAGGTGGGAAGCAGCTGCTGCCCCGGAGAGCAGAAGTTATCAGATGTCGCAGCTGGACCACCCCTCAGCACCAAGCAGCTATCGTGACTGAAGGAAGCCAGCGGGGAGCTTAGGACTGCAGCTTCCCTACAGCAGCGAGCACGGCGGAGCACTGCCGGGCGGGCAGCGGGACAGGACAGCCGAGCCACTGA